CCCCAATGCTACTTTCTTCGCATTATTATTATTATTGCTTAATATTTCGATGCAGCAATCATCTGATTTCTTTTCTGAATGTATTTATCTTGGTTCGTTCTTTACAAGGTTTTTGTTTCTAGTCCTTATCTTAAACATTGTTATTAAAGTTGTGAAGGCAAAAAGTGGAAACCTAATAAACACAATTATATGTTTAAAAAAAAAAAAAAAAAAGGGCAGCATCTGTGGTTCAAGGAGTAGGGTGCCGGCCCCATACACCGGAGGTGGCGGGTACAAACCCAGCCCCGGCCAAAAATTGCAAAAAATATATATGTATATACATAAATAAAATGAAATGGGCTTACAGGTTAAAAAAATTAATAATAATAATAATGTATTCCCAGTAAGGAGGCATAAGGACACCTCAGTGCCTCAAACTCAGAATTTCTGTGGTTTTGTATATGCGAGTCAGACTCCAAACATTAAGCCATCATAGCATTTGAGGTTTATAACTTGTATTATCTGCGACAGGTCATCCACATCTAACAGTCAACATGCTCACAGTAAAAATAAAACAGACTCTCCTTCCATTGCTTGTTCATGTTGTGCTTTTTAGGTCTAAAATTAATTCACCCCACAAAACAAGGGCAAATATAATCAGGAATCAAGGTCCTCTGCCATCTTTGACACCTGCAAAATGGAGACTGCAAGAAAGCTCAAGAAGATTTTGTCAGGGTAGCGCCCCACAGTCTCTGCAGATCCTTCTAAGTTACCAGCACTGTTGTTCTGTTCTAAGCCCTGTGAAAAGTGCAGCACACGCATCACCTATTTTAATCCTTGCAGTAACATCATGAGCCAGGTGATGTTATTACTGTGGCCTCAGGTAAGTAATCTGAATCCTAGAGAGAGAGACAATCATTTGTCCAAAAAGCCAGGGAATGAGAGTGCTGGGATTTGAGCTGGGAACCCAACATCCGCAATTAGCTGGCACCATCCACAATATGCTTTAGGCCTAAAGGGCAGGTGATTCTACGTTCATAGGGAAGGTGCTGCGTGACCCCTTCTGGATAAGACACACAGAGGATAGTTTAGAGAGGAAACTTTGCAGAGAAAATTCAAGGGCAGTATTCTGCTCCTACAACAAAGTTGATGTGCACAGCTCTTTTTTTAATTCTCTCACCCAGATACAGTCCTCTCATGTACCAAAGATTCATTGAGTTCTCAGGGAAATTTCCAAATGTACTGACTGATTCAACAAATGCTGACTGCGTGCATGCCCACTGGACACTGGGCACTGCTAACCATGGGAAGCCACACAGAAGACAGAGCCGCCCCTTGCTTATTACCTGGTAAACAGGTATATTCCTGACCGGACAGAAGCTGTGACATATGGAACAAAGAGGCTGGAGAAAGAATAATCAGAACGGGAGGTGATCAGCAAAGGCACGTCCACAAAGTCCACAAAGTCCATAACCAAAGTGAGCACTAAGGAGTGAGGAGGGAGCCTGGGAAACAAAGCAGTTCTTCCAGGCAGAGCTGCATGGTCTAGAGGCAAGGGGGGTTTTATGCATTTGAGCACAGTCATGGTATTTAAATAAAATCCTGGCAATCACATAGCAAAAGCTCAAATTTTCCAGGACTCTTTTGAACAGGCAAGATCTTCAAGGCACTAATTCTACATGGTGAACCTGATAAAAGCTGAGTCTAGGTCAGGTCGATGCTTACCGCACTGACAAAGGCTGGGGTCAATCCCCCCCAAGACCATATCAGTTCTGTGACGGGGTTCAGTGTCAATGAAACTGTCACTGCAGACTCTCAATTATAGGTGGTGTGACTCTTATTCATCTCACTCAGCAGTCCTCAAAAACGCAGGGGACAGCCACAGTTACATGGTTGCTGCTGTTTCCCAATATTGAGATGCGTTGCCCACCAGGCCATCCTTGAGTACTGCTGGCAATCTTTGTCACAGTCATGCAGTAGCTTCTGTGTACACATGGCACTGTTCTTTGAGGGCCACTCCCAAAAAGATCTGTGGGGGAACAGTACCTGTTCTGCAGAGTCAGCATAGAGGCAGGGACAGGGTTTGAGATGGTAGAGCATTAGCCTGCACGAGCAAAACCCTACAGTTTCAGATTATCATCAGCAATACCAACTTGAAAGCAGTTAGTGAATTCTGCTTACAAGGCAGGCCTTGTTGTCTGACTAAGTAAAAAAAAACGGAATAAAAAAAGAAAGGCATGCCTCTCAGGAAACTGTCAAAACAGGACCCAGAGACCTAAGCTCTGCTAGCAGGACTGGTCCAGTTGTATACATGGCTGTAGGTGTCCTTCAAGATGGGCATCAGGGCCACCTCTCAAGGTGCTGCTTGAAATTCACAAGGGAATCCCAGGTGAGATGCAATGGCCTGTGAAACAGCCACCGTGAGTGAAGCAGCCCCAGACAGGGACTTCCTCCATATCCCCTGCCGGTGCCCAGCACAATGCCGGCATTATTACCTACCAGAACCTCAGCTAAGAACTTCACAAGTTACCACCTCACTAACTCTTCACAACGGGTTAGCTTCTATTTTTATCCACATTTCCCATATAAGGAGGCCATGGCCCAGAAAGGTTAAGTAACTTGCCCAGGATTGCTCATCCAGGAAGTGGAAAAGGTGGAATTTGAGTCTAAGCTGATCTAACTTCAAAGCAGACACTCTTAACCATGCTGCTGTCCTGTACCCACAGCAAGTATTCAATAAAAGTTTCTGAATGCATCGGTTACCGTATGTTTTATATCACCTATCACAGGCTGGGAAGTTTCATTCTATTCATTCTATGACACAGACACATTCACAAGAATAACTTATAGCCCAATCTGCAATAGAAAACTTGGACAGGGGTAGCTCACTTCCCCCCTCCCAATCCCAAGGCAAGTCTTTGGCAGAAATAAGGAGAGCCGCAAATCACAAAAACGAAGGGTATCAGATAGTTCTGTCTTGTCTCTGAACCTTTCCATGTAAGAATGGAGGGATAGTGCAAAAGCTGTCAGTGACATCCCCTGCACATACTGCGGAGCAGAGAACTGGGTGGGAGTCCCCATATTGCTAGGACCTGATGTTGATACTTAAGCCTTAACAAAATCATCTTATACCCACATGAAAGAAACCATTAGCATATTAAAGAGTTTAAATTCTGCTTTATAGCTCTCTTGAGAAAGAAATGTATTTCTCAGATTTGCCATGGCACTTTCAGTAAGAATGTTATGGTCCTAAAGTATCTCTGCTAAGAATCTGATAGGCTGAAAGTCTAACAGATAAAATGCCTACAAGACACAAGTCAATAGGAGGCACAAAGCATTCATTAAAAATTAAAAATAAATTAGGTAAGAAAAATAGACATCTAAATTTTCTGTAAAGATCTACAATTGTTTCTCGGTAACCATATACCTTTTCTCCTTCAGTATTAGAATTCACCAAATTGACCACGTCTAAGGATACGCTTCCTCGGTGCCCTTCTGAGTTAGGGTCGGTTAATAGGATGCACAGAGAAGTCCCTGGGTAAGGCTCCAGGGAAAGCACTTTAAAACAGTCCACATCAGCCAGGAGGGCTACTTTTTTCTCTTGCATTTCTCCCTGTTATTTTCAGGCTGTAGAGGCAAAGGCTGGAGAGCCAGCAGCTACAGTGTGACCTGGAGGATGAAGCAATACCCCTGACCAGGAAGACGGAAGGAACAGACTGCTTTCCCCCAGATGCCTTTGTAAGAGAGAATGTCCAATTTTTACACTTACATAGTTGCATCTCTATTTATCAGAAACAATTCCTAACTGAGGTACTGATATGAAAACATGTTTGAAAACCACTCTATATAATCTTTTCTGTGAAGAAAAAAAAAAAAAAAAGACTAGAAAATTCATGAATTGGGATTCTGATTACCCCTTGATTCCCAAAGCTGTTTGTTTAACTAAGACCTTCCTTCCTAATTAGTACTAGTGGTGCAGGGAAGTGTATTTGTTGAGCCTGTCTCCAAGTTTTGACATGCAAAACTTGTGAAATTCAAACATACTTGTAGACATCCGCAGCACTATTATTTATTAAGGCCTACATTAAAGGTGGAAGATCTTACAGCACCTCTCAGATTCTTATGATTAAAGGAAATCTAATCGTTCTTCATTGGCATTTGATCTTTAGCCTGCTATAATCTACCAGGATATCCCCTCGTCCATATTTGATACTAAAAAAGAAATTTCAACAGCTTGTCTGTCAACCATAAAACAGAAGGTACGTATAGACAAACCACATTACTCAGAAAATCAGAGCGCCTTCCCCCCACTCATTTAGCTCCTGAAAGCCCAATGTGATTGAAAAGGTGAAGCAGGCATATTCCACCAGGTGAACCAGAATGACTGTAGAGCCCAGCATGACACTGGTAATCAGTTTCTAAATTCTCAAAGTGCTTTCACATACATTATATCTGTTTTATCCTTACAACATCTTCCAAAGTAGTTAAGGGCAGGTATTTTTCATTCCCGTTTCTTCCAGATAAATGGCTTGCCCAAGGTCAGAGGGACAGGCAGCAGAGAGGGGTCAGCTTCACAGGTCAAATGACCCCCCTCGGATGCATCAGATCAAAGGGCAGCAAATCATAGCACTCAGGCCAAATGTGGCTCATAATCCGTTACTGTAATAAAGTTTCGCAGGAACACAGTCACACCCATTTGTTTGCGTATCATCTATGGCTGTTTTTGTGCTGTAACAGTAGTAGTGACTAGTTTCAAAAAATGGCTGTATGGCTCTTGAGAATGCCCTTAACAAATGAAGTTTGCCAACCTCGGCATTAGGCCACCTTCCCACAGATACGATCCAAGTTATGAACCCCGTTCTTAAAAACAATAAAACCATCACGCAGGGTAGCTATTATTCATATGCCTACTAGCTTTGGAGGCAGTCCGTTATCCTCCCCGGATTAATACTGCCTGTTGCCGGCACAGGGGGATGGTAATTTTTAGGGAGTACACAACACCAATGGTGTTTGGCACTTACCCTGAAATGTTAATGCGTCTCACAGCCATAAAAAGCCGGGGGTCACTGGGTGGGGGCATGCATAATGCCACGGGACTGCAACACACAGGGGGATACTGAAAGCAAAAAAGAAAAGAAGACGTTAAGTGAGAAGGCGAAGTGTGATGCTCCAAACCCGCACAGATCCGTGAGCCTCACGTGTCCCCTGCTGACACAGCATCCTTGCCCTCAATATACAAGCCTGTGTCTAAGTGTCTCTATTATCCTTTCTTCACGAGTCTAAATTATAATTTCGCTACAAGTGTTGGTCTTTTAGCTATTTTCACTGAACACAGTAGAAGCAACAAGAGGAAATAAATACACAGACACAGGCACCCCTACAAAACAGACCAGCTCTCTGCTGCCAGCGAGACACAAATCTTACTTCCCAGTTAGCAACTCTTTCTTCAGTTGCAGTTCAGATACGGGAGGAGGTTGTGACACAGCCTTCTCATGGGAACAGTGTGTGCATGTGCTGAGCCTGCGAGCTCTCGTGGCTTACTCGAGTTATTAGAATATTTACCAAACCTAATTCCAAGTAAGTTGAAGCTGCTGACAGATAAGTCAACTCCTCCTCAAGCACTTTCAGAAAGTTTTTGTGAATAGCTGTCAATAGCAGGGTATCACATGCCAGGGTCTTTCCTCACATAGATCCTTGAGAGAATAATGCCATCTATGCTGCCCTCAAGATTACAGAAGGGACTCTGTCTAATCCAGAAAAATAAAACTACAGAATGAGTAGAAAGCATGAGCCCTCGGGGAAGGGCGGGAGCGCCGCTCTCTTTCAGTAGTAAATTCAGGCAATCCTCTGTGAACCTGTGCGTTTTCTAATCTAATCAGATGGAGAAGTTGAAACTAAAAAGGAGATACATGAAGTTTTATGATTTGAATAGGCACCTATCTCCGGAAACTATGTGGTTGTCTGTCTACCAGAACTCAGAAGAGAGTTAAGAACGAGATGGTGCCCCCGGTGGGTGCCTCTTCAACCGATGAGATCGATTCAGAATACATTTGTCCAGACTGTGTTTTCTAGGTATCAGCTGCATGAACTGTTAGCCAAATACATCACGGCTTCAGAATCTTCATTCTTACATGGGTTAAATGTGCTGTGCTAGCACTTTTTTCTCTAAAATAAGGCAGCTTAAGAGTCTGATAGGAATGCATCAAAAATACATTTTAAGTTAATTTCAGTTGGCAAAGGCTGTAATCGTTCAAACTTAATTGGTGAACTCATTAATGAGCAACTGCCATGACAAGAAAGGGGACCATTGTCATCAACTTATCAGCGCAGTGAGATAACCAAGTTAATTATGTTGTTTTCAATGGACTTACACTTGCTTCCTTTTAGATTCTACATTTCCAAACATTTGTTCTGACACCCCATGTGTTTCCTCCTCTTAATAAAAAACTATCAGCTATGGACTCTTCAAGGAAAAGTCGGCAGATCACAGCTCTCACATGTGGACAAGGCAATTGAAAAACTTTTCTGCCTTTATTATCTACTTGTAAAATGTTATAAGCCTGTAAACTAGCTAATTTATGAGCCGTGCTAATAATTTGCTCACACTTGAACGCAGGTTTTGCAAACACAGTTTCCGGGGATGTAGGAGGATAATTTGTAGGTCCAGCTTTTCTCCTAAGGGGACACTAACTAATTTGACACAGTAACATGACATTGATGGCGGGACACACTAATGACCATCCTCCAAGACGGGGCTGTCAGCCTGTCGTTCCAGTGAGAAACTGGACTGTTTCACTGCTGCTCGGGACTCCATGCTCAACTAATTATTCAGACAGTGGCATTAATGAGAGCCCTTACGTTTATTTTCAACATACTAACCAGTGCTTAGCTTCCATTTGTCTGATATGGTCACTGATTAAAATGTGTTTCATGAATAGCAAATTTGAACTCTCTAATATAACAAAGAAGCACCGGAGAAAATAAGGAACAGCTGACTGGAAAACCAACCTTGTCAACTCAACTTGTTTTTTGCCTCCTGTATCATCAAGGACAAAGTGACAGGTAGTAGGAAAAGCCATGAGTGCGGGGGGGGGGGGAACTATTTTTAATTACACATGCCTATGGACAAGCTTGATTTTGGATCACAATATGGTCAGGGGCAACTTCTGTCTCAAATAAACTTCACCAACTTTATGATATGGAATGAAGTTTTTTTTGTTTTTTTTTTTTTATGGTTTGGGATTCATTGCGGATACAAAGAATTAGGTTACACTGGTTGCATTTGTTAGATAAAGTCCCTCTTACAATTGTGTCCTACCCCCAAGGGATGTCCCATACACCATCACACCTCCCACATCCCTCTCTCTTCCCCTCTCCCCACTCCCTCATTCCCCCAGCCCCCTCCCTTGTATTAGCTCATCTACTGCCCTGGAATGAAGGGTTTTTAAAGTTAGTTTTTCCATAGAATGACCAAAATCTTGCCTTCATGTGTTTTCCCAGTATTACAAAAGTCTGATGTTTGATTAAATTGTCTAAAACAATGATCTTCACATACATCAATAAATGCAGTTGTGTTTTTCCCAAATCTATTATAAAACTATCCACTGAGAGGTTTTTAAAAAGTGGGGTTTTTTTAAATATCCTTTTATACATCTTGTTTCTTGTCCCCTAAACCTTGGAGTCAAGGTCTTGTATTTTAAATTTCCATTTTAGTATGATAAATTTTGTCCTTTGTTTTATAGTGATTATAATCCCAAAATATTTATATAATCACAAGTTAAAATGAATAACTTTTTTAAAAGGTATATTGGACCTATCAAAGACATTGGAAAACTGAAAATCCTCTCAATATGGTTCATTGTATTTAACCTCAATTCAAATTAAATAACCAATAGTATTTCAACAAATGCTCTATCTGCCATCATGGATTAAAAATTCTACTCAATACCATGTATGGCTTCCATGTATGGATTTTATAAAACAGCAAAATAAATATGAGTCCATGCAATGAAAATGTCACTGCAAGCAACATTTCTTAAGTATATATTTCTAAACTTACTCAGAGATAGATCTGTAATTTTAGAACACCAAAATGCCTAAATGGCATACAACATGTGGGAAGCAGATTCAGACTGCAAGCTAATTTTTTAAATATATTTAAACAAGTATCAAGATAAATTGTTCCCAACCAGCATGACGGTTTTTGAATGCTGCTCTTTCCATGGGTACCTGTTACAGACAGGTTCTCAGCATCTCTGGGCAGTATGTGTGTGGCAAGCATTTCCCCTCCATAATTATCCAAGAAATATGGTCAGTCTGCGGCAGGGACTGGCTAAATGCTGACCAAGTCCATTTCTTCTTTCTGGACACACAGCTGGAATGTATCTTTAAGCATCCCTTATAGTTAGGTTGGGCCTTGTGACCAAGTTCTGGCCAAAGAGTTGGAGTATGTGTTTCATTCTGATCAGAAAACTCCCGCACCGTCCCTAATACCTTCTGTCTTCCCTTAACTGTGGGCCCAGAGATACCATGGAGAACTTCTAGTTCCTGAGATAGTGAGTCCAGTCGTACAGAACGAGCCTGGGTCCCGGAGAGACCAGGTGGAGTCGAGCCACTGCTGCCCTGTTGCCACCAACCAGCACTACACCATGAGGCGCCCAACAAATAAACCTGCAGGGACGTAAGCCTCTGAGATTCCGGAATGTTTGTTACAGCTGCCAGTATCTCATATCCACATATGGGGAGGTTTCTAATTTCTCCCTGGCTCCCTGGCTTTTACTCCCTGAGTCTCCAAGCAACCCTGAGTAAGTAGAAGAGCTCCAAGTGTGGGGAGATTTCTGCTGATGTTCCACTGCTGTGATTACTGGCTCCTCTAACTGGGCTAAGGGCAGAAGAGGGACGGGAACCCACAGCTAAAGTATTCTGAAATCTGTCAGGCACGTCTTTCCCTCCTTAACCTTCCCATCGCCCGGTGGAGACGCTGGAGTCCCGTTTTCTAGATGACAATACTGACCTTCTAAGAGGTGAAATATAAGCAAATGCTACACAATATTGATCCGTATTCTCTTACTTGAATGCCTATTGGAATTTAATTTTCAAACTTCATAGAAAACATGTATTTTTAATTACAACACTTTTGGCTGTTGCTTATAAAAGAAAAAACTCTATGACATCCACACATTTAATACATTTTCAGTAAAATGTGTGAGGGGAAAGTGTCAAGTTGAAATGCAACTGGTACAATATCAGGAATGTCTGTAAAGGTTTTGCAAAACTAGCAACAAAAGTGATGGGCCTCAGATGTTCTTTGTGATGTAAAAATAAAGTCATATTTCAAACAAAATAAATGTGCATTGAGTAATCAATGTTTTAAACATTTTTACATTCTTAATGTGATAGCTGTTAATACATTTTACTCTATTTTAGTCATATTTTAGAACAGGGTTGGCAAACTTTTTCTGTAAAGGAAAATATAGTCACTATTTTAGGCTCTGCAGCCCTAAGTTCTCCAATCCAACTAGTACTCCATTCTTACCACTGGCAGAGAGCGCAACCAGACACAACCACACATAAACGAAGGGGGTATAAAGGCGTATGGGTGTGTTCCAAAAAGACACTCTGCTGGATGTGGCCTGATGATCATAATTTTATAACATGTGTTCTCAAATATTGATGGGGGTTTCCATATTGACACACCACACATTATAATTTTTCCTCTGTAAAATAATGGGAAATGGGCTCTGGTTAGCATTTTCACTCAGGATATCTAGTTGCCAGGAAAGGGTTACTGACTTAACAGGAAGAAGGGTTAATTTGTCCAAGATTCAAGAGATGACAGTTGGCAGGTTCAGCCTCCGCTGGAGGTTATCACCCTACTACCCAGTATATTTTTTGTGACAGAGTCTCACTCTGTCACCTTGGTAGAGTGCCATGGCATTCTACCAGCCTAGCTCAGAGCAACCCTTGGGTTCAAGTGATGCTCTTGCCTCAGCCTCCCAAGTAGCTGGGACTACAGGCACCCACTACAACACCTGGCTAACTTGTCTATTTTTAGTAGAGAGGGGTCTTGCTCTTGCTTAGGCTGGTCTCAAACTCCTGATTTCAAGCAATCTACCC